GTTTTCCCAGACTCACCTCTACTTTTTCTCCTGGTGTGAAAAACTCTATAAAATCTTTATCCGCTTCTTTGTTGGTCTGTATTTGGATGTTGTACTTTTGCTTAAACGGCCCTCACAGCCTTGACACTGCAAGATGTTTATGTTACAGCAGGTTTTATAGGCTTTCTTATTGACGAAGACCTGTCCACATTTCCTTTCACAATACCACTAAAGTAATTATAAAAAGGATAAACAAGTTCCTGTTTTTACACAATCTGCTATTAAAAAAATAAATTAAAACAATCCACATTGGGGGGAAAAAGAAATGATACAACAGCCCATGCATCCCTGACTTCCAACATCAAGTGCCTTGATAAAGCTGTTTTTGTTGAATGACACTAGAAATCAATCTAGATGAACCTACAGAGAAAACTAAAAAGCTAATTTTCCTCATGGTTGTACCACTTTTACCAAAAAGCAACAAATCAAACTGGATCAAATGTTTGTCTAAATGGTTACTTGAAACAAAAATCGTCATTGATTCAGTTCTGTGCATGGCTGTGTGAGTCTTACATGCATGATTTTAGACGAGGAGTTAAATATGGTAACGTAGCTCTTCAAAATATCAAAATGAAAAGCTGGAGTCAGCAGTCGTCTTTTGCGAGACCACACCTCGCCATTACTAATCAGCACACTGCGTCCTGAGACAAAAGAGAAACAGAGTTAGTGGAACATCCTGTAAACTATGTAATCACAGATGAGAAAAACAGAGATATCTGACTCACCCAGCCAAGGCTGTAGGTGGTTATAAATGAGCCCATTTTTCACCGTCATGCTGGCTGAAGGAAGTAGATGATGGATAACGTAAGAGAAGAACAACAACTATTGAAATGTGGTCTGTTTGTGTTTTACCCTACCAGGTGCCATGAACAGAGGTTTGATATAGTCAGGGTGGAAGAGTCTGACCAGGTGATAGAAAGGACCGAGGACCCAGTAGCAGGAGTGTTTGTATGTCTGCACCAGGTCATCCAATAGCTGGAAACCTTCTTCTCTGCCCTGTATCTATCATGTTTTATCACAAAACAAGACCTTAAGATCAGTAATGTATTGTGTCGCAACAGAAAGTACATGAACCCTACAGCTTTTATGATGTAGAGATGATAAATAAGTAAATATAAAACTAGATGGTGCCTGTGTATCGTACCTGCCCCAGATGGCCCAACAGCCATGAGTTTGCCGGGGGTTTGCTGAAGCATGACAGCCTGTGAGAGTACCAGACTCTCCTCACAGTCAAAACTGCAACCGCAGCAACCAGTCCAGTACTGAATATGTACATTAGTGAACAGAGACACGTCCAGCTGAGGACCGGAGAGAGGACACTGTGCAGGAGAGCCATCGCTGAGAGAGAAATTAATATTCAGAAGTCCTCTGATCCTGCTATGTGGTTGAGGAAACTGCTCCAACCCTCAATTCTGATTCGACAAGGGGAAAAACAAATTACCGACATTTTTCAAAAAGAGGCAGTCTCCCTGTCAAATATTGGTCAGGCCTGATATTGGTCATATATGGAATGCAAAACATGCCAGTTTGATTATAGTGATACAGTGTGTTAGTAATGCACTTATAATAAACATAATAATGTATCAGTTAAAATAGATACTTTTATACAGAATAATGTTAAAGTAAAAGGTAGCTGCACAGTTACAGTTTTGAATGTGATTGTTGTTACAACCATACAGAAGATTCTTTAAACATAGTTAATTTGTACAGTGGCCCCTAGAGACAAAGCATGTACAAACTCCAAAACACTTACAAAATCCAAAACACATGCAAA